CGGGATACCTGGAGGATTTCCCGGGCGACGCGAGTCAATGCGCGTGCAGGGTCGCACAAAAAGCGGGGGCGGTTTCCGCGGACAATGCGTCCCCGTCGCTCACAATGCGCGCCGCCCGGAGAACGGGCGCGTATTAAAAAAGCCCCGCGACTCGAAAGTTTGCTACAAATACGACCGTGTCCCATTGAGGCCCGCCCGTCGAGAGAGTCGACCGCGATCTCTGGAATTCTCGAAATACGGCTTGACCCGCGTGTAACGCGTCGGGCTCTGGAAAAATCTGCTGCGGATTTCTGTTGCGGGAATCAGTGTGAGGGACAGGTTCTAAAAGTCGAACACTATTTTCATACTATAACTGGGAGAAATATGTTTAACCCTTGTCCTATAATTTAGTTTCGCAGTTGCATCTGTAGAAATAGTTAATTATTCAATAGGAAAAGGCACGCGAGGCAAAGGGTTAAAACGGTAATTGGGACGTTTATAGGAAAAATCTGTTTTTGAAACTTTTTCTAATGTTAGCGCTAGGGCGATTGAATATAGTTCTTTACTTACGTGAATTAATAGAAATTTTCGATAGTTTATAATGCAGAGTGAACCGTTTATACGAGCGAATGGTTCGATTGATCAAAGATGTTTCGTATTCTCCGATTCCGGCATATTATAGAGAAATCCTATTCTAGGAATGCGGCGTTGCCTGTATTCGCCGCCATAACTTGAATTTCCCTTCCTCGTTTTATGTTCTCCCGTCCTCTCCCCCTGTTGCTCTGGCAGTGACGACGCGTACGAGAGGGGGGAACAAAATATACCGATAGACTGAGGCACAATGGACGGATTTTCCGGAGTGCACGGGACGCGGACAGGGTCTACAATGAAGACGACACACGAGGTGCGCGTGAAGCGGGCCGGATGTTGCGTCAACCGAACGGCCGCATTAAAATCTTTTTCTAAGACCTGGGCGCGTCTGAAATCGAGGTGTTCGGCCCGCTGAATGGACCGGCGACGAAATCGCGCTGGGAATCGGCTGCGAGGGGACGGCGGGTTCTCCGAACGGAGGAAGAATGGAATCGGTCTCGCCACCGGTGTAAATAATTGCAACGATTAAGTGGTTATCCGGAGGCGTTTGAATAGGGACAGCGGGAAGATGAATCGCGTCGGATGCGCCGCGCCGGTGCGACGGGTCACCGGTGTCTAGCGTCGTCTGCGGGCCCGCGAATGAATCGGACGTCAGCGTTGTCTGTTTTGCAACTTCTTTAGCGTCGTCCCCTCGCTCTCCTTTCTTTTCATGGCTGCTTGTGCGGTCGCTTTGACGCTCTTTTGTTTCGCTGAATCTATTACTGGATTATCGAGGATCTGTTGGCGGCTGTCCAACGCGTCTCCGCTCGGGACGTCATCTTTCCCTTCTTTAGCTCGAAATTCTTCATCGATGGAGGGTAATTGGAACTGCTCGGATTGCGGAAGAAAGGAACGAGTGAATAACAATGGCTGAAGCTCCTATTCAATCTAATGATTAGCCTTTTGCTCTTCAATCTATACCGCGATATCGCAAACATTGTTTCTTGCATAGTTGACTATAGGTCGATTGTCCTTTGACTTCGGAGCTAATTATATTATTCTCAAAGTATCGATAGAGACGAGGCAACGACTGGCGCTAATAAAATTCCGACGATTTATCATAGGAGCTCTATCAGCTGCTAAGTGCCCGTCTAGCTAATCGTCCCACGTGAATCAACAGAAAACAGCCAAAGGCGATCCAAGATCTCGCGACAGAGCTCGTGACCGCCAAAAAATGCGTGGGTGCGGGTGACCGTCCTCGTAGCCGATCGGGGACCCGGCACATTGTCAACTGTCAGTTGACAGGGCACAGGATGCGCCTTTTCCGTTCGGAAAGAGCTTCGCTTTGCGCCACTCCCATCCCATAGAATTGCGTTCAATCGTCCATCGATTGTACGCGAGCGTATCGTCGCTGGCCCGTCGCCACGCTTATCGATCTTTGCGCGAAAAAATGATGCCACCTTTCGTCGGTGTTGCTCGTCGCAACGGTTCTCCTCGGTGCTCGCCGATTGCCAATCCGCGGGCCCGGCGGAGTCGCGTCCGATCGATTCGCGCGCGCGGCATTACCGAAACCTCGTGATTTATGCGGCCGTGATCGGCCGATAATTCGATTGTTCGACGGAGCTGCCGCTGATAGCGAGACGACGCTCGCTCGCTCGCAATGCGTTCGCCCGTTGCAAACTGGTTCCAGCCTGGACCATTGTAACAGAATCGACGATAATTCGATACCTTCGGCGTGCGTGCATGCAGATTAAAACGCGTCTACGGGAGTAATGTACGAGTCAGTTAAGCGTAGATTGAGTGCGGACATTATCTAGATCTTATCGGCGACGCTGATCTCGCTGGTAGGATCGCCTGCGGCGAAATTTCGCTTTATTCTTTGACTCGTCGGCTAATTATATTGTTAGAAGACGGCCGGTTCTGTAATCTCATTCCACGGTATTCTTACTCCGAACGCGATAAACTGCGGTACAACGCGCTCGAGACATTGTAGCGATTCCTTGAATGCAACAATTATCGCGTTACGCGTTATATGATTATGTATAAAATATTCGAGACGACCATTCACGAGTCAAATATTGTTTCCTACGTTTTCGCGATTAAGACGGTAGAATCTATAATTATTCTATAATATTTTGGACATCGCGCGACGCGTTCGCTGTTTCGTAAGAGTATCGACGCGCCCGTCGAGTGTAAATATATTCGAACGATTGTTCATCCGAATATCACCGAAACTCCGACCGGAACCGTCTCGTAGCCGGATATTTTGTACAGCGTCGTGTACGCGTTCCACATGACGTGCGAACGAGGTCGCATCGGTTCAATTAGAAGCAACACGAATCGAGCAGGCCGATCCACCTACGGGGTAGGCCTCGATCCGCCTCGAGCGTTTCCACCTATAACCTATTACAGACACTTTTTCACGACGGCAAATTGCCCGCCGGCTGGCAACCATCGAACAACCGTCTCTCCACTTGTCTGCCTGTTCTAGAGCCCGTCGATGATCCCGCGATCGCGTTTTCAACCTTGTCGTGCTCGGAATTCGGTAGCCGGGGAACGCGGCGGGAATCTTCGATTCACGAGAAGGAACGGCTCGTCGCCGGGCCATTGCGAATTCGAAATACCGCTCGCTCCCGATTGCAGTTGAATCTCAATAGTTGCAATCTCAATAACTTAGTTACCGGGTTGCGAACGGAGGAAAGGAAAAGCGATAACAAGGGACGCTGTTTTTCGTTGAGATTCCATCGTGAAATGCTCGTCGGTCTTTCTCTTTCAGTCGTGTCTATCAATTTTCCATGAAGCTTCCATTAAACCTCATCATTGCCCTGCTTTAACCCTTTGAACTCTGTAGGCTCCAATATTGCACCAGTTATAATATTAAATATTTTAATGAATCTTAAAGAATCTACCCTAAAATTATTAGATTTTCTATTATTAATTATTACACTTTTAATAAAAGATCGAAGGTATAGCATTTTTGATTTTCACTAGAGATACCATAGAAACTACAGTTGCTGATAGATTACAAAACCATTTGTAGTGCTAGGGGTTAATACTCTAAAACTCACTGATTTTTATTCAGAATATAACAATTATCTATCGTCTCCAATGTCTTCAAGATTGATACTATAGACCGCTCATAATTCGATATGGGTGTCATTGTTAACCCCCTGGTCTATGATTTCTTTCTCACCTCTCATCGATATGTTGAAAATCTTTACCACGAGTCTCACTCGTTGTAGGATAAGGGGTTAAGAAACATGCGTTGGAAATAAATGAATGGTCATTACGATTAGTTCTATCGTAACTTTCGATGTTCTCTGATGCATCTTAGGGGTCCAGAGTGTCCTAATCCTACAATACCTCGAGATCGACTTGACTGTGCGGTAGGCCACCGTCAAAGGGTACAATTCATCGAAAAGGGGAAGAAAGAGGGATGAGAGGATTCAGGGGGCCGTGGGGAGAGACGAGAATGAAGAGAAGGCAGTGATTTCCTGCTGGACCAAGCCGGCGTGAATCAGATGCGACGGCTGTGACGTGATTGAGATGAATCGTTTCTCGATAGCCGACGCCTGAAGGGTTATTAGAAACATTTTGTCTGCGTACGCGCCACGCTGGTAATCCCGGTCGGATCGCTCGCCGAACACAATGCCGGAGCTAATGCCAATAAACGAAATCAATAACCGAGACGCGATTCCTTGTGCATCGTGGTTCTAACGAGCGTTCTGTGCTCGGCGGGTTCATAGCTTGCATTATGCAGCCCTACAGCTTCGGAGAGTAAAGGGATGATTCTCCTTTTCAGCGATGACGACGATGATCGTTCGATTTTGAACCTCTACAGCGGCTTGCTCGTATAAAGACGTCTCTGAATCTCAAAGCTGTCTCGTCACATGCTACACGTGGCTTGAATTATCTCGTTTAGAGAATTAATATCGAAGACTTTGTCTTAGATCTGAATTTAATGGTAGATACTTCTGTGATATTGATGACATCAATTTTAGTGTCCATGAATTATTGGGATACGATAGAGATCATGCGAAAATTTTTGATTGTTTTCCTTGGAAACTATGATTTAATAATGGTTGGTAGTTTAGTATGTATACTTGTCGAGTACAATTTCCGGTTCCAATTAGTGGACTAGGGAACATTGTGACCATCTAGCGGAGTGCTGCTGGAATTAAAATGGCCTCCAAGTTCAGACTGCTTAATCTGGTGAGTTGTTAATTCCGGTTGCAGACTACTAGGAGTAGCAGTTGCTCGGCTGGTAAGAGAACGAGTTTCCTGATGGATAATGAAGTTCCCTAGTTTTTCAATTTAGAGTATTAAATCACCGATGACGGATAAGATAGATTGTGCACAAAATGTGAATCATTCGTTGTTTTATTACGCAGTAGAAAGTAAAGTTTTAAATATTAAATTTCTATTTTTTTACAATTTTATTGTGGTGAGGCAAATCTGGAGTCAGGCAGCCACAGCATATTCTATCGAAGTATTCCATTTGATATTGTATCGTGCAACTAATTATGCAGATTTTAAATTCAAACGCATTAGCTCGATATTACTCTCAATTTATAATCTCACATTAATTTGAGTAGAGACGCAGAGAGGTATATGGAAATAAATGTCTTTATTTAAATTTCATGTACGTTCTAACGATTAATTGAATTTCATAATGAATTCTTATAATACTTCCTTACAATAATGATATACTATACAATTTTCTTTGTGAAATCAATTGTTTAAGACTTAATTATTTAAAACCAGTTTCGAGTTTTCGTCGGTATGAAACCTTGTTGCCTTTGGAGATTGGTTGTTGGTAGTACAGTTTCGAGATGATAGAATATCATAAAGTGATAAGAATCTTTCTTCTTATCACGATTGATATTTTCAATTAAATATTATCTAACGACGATAAGTATGAATTCCAGAGTTTTAATGTCTAGGAAAAGTATACAATTTTTTGTTTAATAATATCCTTGACGAGTTAAATGTGCGATTTAAATTATCATTCGTCTTTTAATTTCAAAAGATGCGGAAATTTTTCTACGATATAGTTACGACAGTGATCCAGCATAATTTTCCACCATTTACGAAAAATTCGATAATAAATCCAGTATAACAATACTAAAGGCAACGCAATCAAGATCAGGATCGTGCCATAGTAATCAACTAATGAGATCTCGTGGCCATAGTAACGCATGTGTCCCCATTTTGAAAATTTGATCACGTGCTCAACGTTCCAAATTGCTCTGTCCATAGGGTTCACCAATTCGTCCTTTATGATCTCCGACATAGTCTTGATATTATCATAATACCTGCAATTATTTCATGCGGAATATTCATCCTTCACGTACACTTAGCCGCTATCTATTTAATTACTGCAGTAAAAGTTAATGAGATTTAACCTATTAAAGTTCTCGAATGAAATACAGCCGCATTTCAGAACTAATTGTAAAGTACAATTCACGCGACGTTTTAGCGTGATTAAAAATTTATTAAAATCCAACTCTAACGAGTAGTCTCTTACTTTTCCCGGGATACGGAGAACTTTCGATGAAACGAAAGAAAAAATAAAAGTCGCAGAGTCACTCCCTTGATCCGGTGAAAACGTTGAAAATAAAATCGAGTTCGTCGCGGCCGATTTAAATAACACATCGCGGGACGGATAGTTTGAAATATTTGATGACGAATCAAGCGATTCATCGCCGATCGATCGGCAGATGTTGTGCGACGGTTTACTCACGTTTTATTTTCTATAACGTCGGTGAGGGTCTGTACGATGGATTCCTCCGTGATGGTATCGATGTTCAATGTAAGTCCGATACCGGCGTCCAGGATTTTACGTGCGTTGAAAAGTTGATCCCCGAAAAAGGGAATGGCGACTACAGGCACAGAATAGTGCACCGCCTCTTGCAACGACTGCAATCCGCCCTGCATCACGTAGGCCATCACTTTCGGATGTGCTGCATATAAAAGTGATGTTAGCATCGCGGATCCGGACGAAGTAAAGCGGCGCCTTTTTATGGATTATCTGCTCTCGAGTATTACAACCCTTAAAACTCGCCGAGAGTGCATGGAAAGCAGTGGTTTAATATTTCTCTACGAAATCCCAATAATTTCTGATGCAAACGACGCGCTGCGCCGTACGTACGTTCATTATTTTGTCGATAAATTCGATTCCAATGGTGGGAATGACATTTATTCATACTATACGTAAAGAATAACATCATTCACCTTCTTATTTAATCCAAATTTCATTTAAAAGTAAACTACTGTACTCAATTTCCTGTTCTCAATCTTGAATCATTGAATTACCAATAGATTAAAAAATATTACCGATACATTTCGCCTTTAAATCGATCATACCTTCGATGGAATTTTATATATGAAATATTAATCTACCTTCTCCGAATAATGCTCAACGATGAATTATAAATATCAGCTCATCTATAACCCCGGAATTAGCAAAGAGAATTAAAAACCAATAGCAGGCGAGACCTTATTAAACACCAAAAATTCTCGATGAATTTTTAATCGTTTCATTCATGGAGCTTCAAAGTAAACTATTAAATAACTCTCTAAGACAATCTTAGATCGTCTACCTATTTCACACAGTAACCAACAATATACCAAATCTACGAATTTAATGGTCCTTTATGTTACAGAGATCTATGCGTTGCCAACGATCAACGCGCGAGAATTCTTCACTCGAGAGGGAAGTTTCTCCTGCAACCCGCACGAAGGCGAATCGCGACTTCCGGCAGCATGTAAACCAGGTAATAGGCAATTGAATTGAAATCCTCATTATTTACATCGCGCGTCTCACCGTTACATTTCGTATTCTCGCGTTTAATACGTTTTCCGACGTTGGCCGTAGAGCGGCCTGGGAATGGGGGGGCGGGGGGCGAAGGAGGCAAACGGAAACCTGTCTGTCAATGTGTACGAAAGTTCACGCCTGCTTGCATTTGCATCGGGACCGGGCGTTACCGCGAACGATGCGGAGTTGTTTGTCAGAATTTCCCGGGAGAATTTCGCCGGCGCGTCATGAGTTATCTTTTCGTTTCGGTATGAATCGCCCCGGATCGCTGTTCTCCCTACACCCTTCCCCTCCTTCCCCGCTCCCCGATCGTCGGTATGTAGTCGTTTGTTTTTGCACCGTTTTTTTGTTCGCCCCCCTTTCTCAACCGCACCTCTGGGTCCACCGAAAAAACATTGCCGTTCGAATATCCATAATAACGGGAACGTTCGCGCGGGAGATCGTTTTCTGTTCCAGTCCGCCAACCGTCGCGACGCGACGCTTCCTCCTCGGAACAACGGAGCAACGGAGATTCGATGGGGGCAGATTTGTTTGGTTTCAGTGATTCGAACTGTAAGATTAATGGCTGGGAGTTCGATGTTTCAGGAAGTAATTGGTTAATTGACTTTAAGCAAGCCTCTCTCGAGTCATCGATGGAACTTCGTGTGATATTTGTAGTATCAGGTTAGTGGATACGATGCAATTTAGAATTTCCATTTGTTTAACCCTTTGCACTCGAGAATATTTTTCTCAACGAATATTCGTCACTTCTTTATGAGATATCAATATGTTTTACAACATGAAGAAATACCTTGTATAAATGAAGTGACTATTTTATTTCGATGTTCCATATGTCGATACATTATATAAAATTTGATATTGAATTCTAAATTTGATCACTTTGTTCGGTCAAATCAAATGACTGAAAGGCGCCGCTCGTGCAAAGGGTTAAATGTTTCGATACTGTAAGGAAAAGGGTCTATTATTTAACTCAGACATTAGGAAGCTTGTAGAAAGATATTACTAATTATTGAACCTAAATTGATCAAGCTTTCAGCAGGAATTGTTCCATTATTTTCGCTGCTCACGTATTGTTAGCTATATAGACAGCCCTTCTAATATTCCAGTTTTTTGTTCTAGGTTGATGTAATTACTGCACGGTTATTTACTATAGCCGAGAACCGGTCGTTTAAAAATGGCCGCCGACGCGGTCGTTAAAGGGTGTTTCGCAAACTGGGTAAAATTAACATCCCTTGGAAATGAAACGGTCGTCGGGGATGGGGAATGGGGGCCGGGGGTGTGGGGCAACTTCGTTAAGTATCCGTGCAGGGTCGGTCCGCCGTTGAATCCTGTTTAACGAAGAGACCGTCGCGAGGAGTTTTGACGAGTTGCGTACGTAAATCGAATAGAAACGCGATAATTAATGGACGGAAATACACCGGTGAACACGCGGCGATCGTTGCGCAACAACTGTCAACTCGAAACATGACGTCTTTCTCTTTTTACCGGGAAGTTCGCGTCTCCCGGAGGTTGACCGACTTCTGTCGCGTCTTTATCGTTTCACCGAAATCAAAGAGGAGCATTGTAAGCGACGCGCACAGATCGTTCATTCAGCTGGATCGTTGCCTGTTTCGCGAGGCGATATTTCGTAAAGGCAATCGTACAGTTCAGAGTTTAATTGCTCGAACTTTTTAACAAGACTGCTGTTGTTCGTGAAATATGCTGTTCACGAACCAGCGTTACTCTTACGCGAGAAGTTTAGAACTTCGATAATATATCATTCAAAAGTATTCAAAATTGGTCGACCAGTTTCAACGTTGAATTTATTCAAATTGAAAAGCGATGTGACTTATCGTTCAACTATTATTCTATCTCTTCAGTTGCGTATACTAATATCAAATATACGACAGCTGTAGCGTAGTATCCCTCGTCTCTTAGAATCGTCGTAATTATCGTTCCTCGAATGACGAAATTACAACATTCCGTGCAACTGTCCGGAACAAGTGTCCGAAACGTCACAGGACATCCGCAACAAAAAGTGCCCGCGTTTAGTACCGTGCACGTTGACCAAAAGCCACGCTATAAAACGGATATCCCGGAGCGGTCAATCTAGCGGTTCAAAGGAGGGGCGGAAGGGTCAGCCGAACAACCCGGTAGCCTTACCTAAAACCGCTTGCTGGGGCGCCCACTTCACAAATTTAATGTTAGCTGGATGAATGGCCATGTCCCCAGCGTCTTTCCATAGTACTCTTTGCTTGAGCGAGCTGAGCGCGTTGCACAGCGCGGTCAAAGGGCCGGCCGGCAGTTGATGAGTTTGCAGGTTCGAACCCAGAGAGAAGTAGATCGCCCCGTGCGCCGCGTTGTCCAGGAATTCTTGAACATCCTTCGAACAAAATTAAACGACATTCCCATGCGTCTCCCGTCGATCGAATTCCGCGAACTTCCGCGCGGCCGCGTAAAAACGGCTCGCAACAGAGTGACCCGGGTATAACTGATAGACCCACGAACGGCAGTATCTTCCCTATTGTCCGCCATTTTGCCGAGGAATCGCTCCTGAGCGATGATGCACGCGCATCACGTGGAGCAGAAGGTATTGTTCCGTTAATTGCACAGCTCGACAGAGACCGGTGAATTTACGTGCACGTGGATAACGATCACGTTCCGCGTCTCGGTGTTCCGCGTTAATTCCACGTGACGCCGGTACAATTGCGCTTCAGGGACAGTGACGCTCTTGCGGCGTTTAAAAAAAAAACCTCGCTCATTGTCTCCGAACAACAACGGGTTAACCCTTTGCGCCAGAAAGGTGACTCTTACCACTTGATTCTATACGGAAATTCTAAACTCGTAATATTAATCTTTGCACAACGCATCGATGCACGAAGTACTAACAAAATATCTTTGTCTCAATTTACGTGTGTTCCTCGTTACTTAGTTCCGTAGAACACTGAATATTTTTAGCGAGAAGCTTCGGAAAGGGCCGACATTTCTACTCTCGCATTCAGCACGAAACGAACCGAAAAAGAGAAATCATAAAAGAAACGAACGTAAACCGGAATTTTCACAACGCATCGATACACGAAGTACTATAACAAAATATCTTCGTCCTTTAATTTACGTGTGCTCCCTCGTTACTTATTTCCGTAGAACACTGAATACTTTTAGCGAGAAGCTTCCGAAGGGCCAACGTTTCTACTCTCGCATTCAGCACGAAACGAACCGAAAAAAGGAGAAATCATAAAAGAAACGAACGTAAACCGGAATTTTATTTCTGCTGCCCAGCGGAGGAATCGTTCGAGAAATATTTTTCTCGAGGCAACGAGCGGTAAATAGCAATGACCTTTACTTTCGCGGGGCAGCAGGGCCGAGTCATAGGTAAACTTTCCCCTATACCGGCCGCTCGGCGGAGCGCTACGTATTTTCCCCCGGAGAAATCATTCTCGGCGGTCGCCGGTGCCGTCCGACGGCGTCTTCTCCTCGCGCGGAGCCCGGGAACTGCTCGAAACAACGCTCCGCACGGAATAATATCTGTAATCGTTAACTGAATTTCACCGGGCGCGATATTGGCACGGCCGGTCACGCCGAATTCCCGATGAGCCGCGGTTACATCTACGCGAGCTGCCCGAGAATTAGATTTGTCCCCGTGTCGTAACACGAGATTCAGCGGGAACGTTCCCCGCTGTCTTAATGGCGAAGTTCCGGACCCGACGTTAGTCACCTTAGGCAAAGCCTCTCGTTTCTCGGTGATCTGCAGGCTGTGAACTTCGATCACGTTCGGCAGCAGAGGCTTCGGGTAGCCGAACACGTGATTGTTTCCCAGTATCACGAGGCTGAAGTTCCTGTCCATGTCCGCGACCGACGCGCCCGGCGTCCACTTGTCCACGACCTTTTGCGCCCTCGGCAAGTGACGGTATTTGTAGTAAAGTCTGGTCCAGGTGGTGTAGACGATGTTGCGGATGCGTTCGGTGAACGACATTTTGTTCGTGAATGGGTATGCCATGTCTGGGTTCAGCTGGCCGTCGTCTGGGTTGCCTGGGAAGGTAATATCGTATATTCGCCTGATAACTGAATATTCTGTTAATTATAAAGGTAATCTTGTATATAAGTATTATATGTGAATAGAATATCGAGGAAAAAGTAATACGAATAGACAGGGAGGAAGATTGTTCGTTGAATTTATCTCGCGATTGTAAATGTAAATTACATCTGCTACCATTAACCCTTTGCACTCGAGGATATCTTTCTCAGTAAATATTCATTACTTTCCGATGAAATTCTGAATTATTTTATCTCGATGTTCCACGTGTTGGTACGTTATATAAAATTTAATATTGAATTCTCAATTGTACAATGTTCTTGGGTCAAATCAAATGACTGGAAGGCGCCTCTCGAGTGCAAAGGGTTAATCACGCTTCGCTTCGAGAAACTGGCATTTTTGAAAATGGAGAAATGAAATTTTTTGATTGTTCAAGTCGAGGTGAAGAGTCTTTCCGTTATTAATATTTAACGCTCTACAGTGAACGTAGATTTACTCCGAACGTAGAACTCTCTGGTTTCCAGCTGACTAAGGAAGACGCGAAAGAAGTCGCCCGGCGAAGGGTTAGGGATGAAATTTACATTCATATGGCGGCGATAATAATTCTACCCTCCTCCCGCTTGGTGATCTATTTCCCAGCTGACGTGGAATGGCTACATGTTAAAGCACTACCGGGCGATTCGTCCTTTTCCACGAAACCATCCTCCCCGATTGCTCGCACTTTCTGCTTCACCGACAATCTACGTCAATTTCCGGGACGGTTGGAAGCGACCGTTCGGCGGAGGGAAGGCGGCGAGAAAAGGACGAACCGGGGAAACGGCCAACGGTCTCGGACCTTTACGCCGGTCGTTCCCGCCGCGGGTTCACTTTTGTCAGCAATTGTTGTTGCGATCCAGCCCGTCCGATCCCGGCCCCGGACGGGCCGTTGCTTACCGACGGAGTCCATTACGTACGGCAGGTTGCCGACGCTCAAAAATCCGATTAGCACCGGCGAGTTGTAATGCTTGACGAGGGCGTAATAACACTGGAACCATAATTGCTCGATAATCACTGCGTCGAAGGTCTTGTTCCTCCTGGAAACGAACACTGCAGCTCATGATCGGGATCAGTGACTCTCACTCGCCTTCTACTTCCCGCTTATTCTTTGTTCTAGAGTGTTAACACGTTAAACGCCACGAAAATCTTACGCGTTTTCCCATACGGTTTTTCTGTTGTAGCAAAGAAAAGCAGGAACAATTGTTAATTATTTGACGTTACAATCCTTGCAGTGTACTATTATCAACTTTGTTAGGTTATTAAATATCTTCATTCAACATTGGTTGTCTTGTATGTAACGATTGTTTTCTAGTCATTCGGAAGCGTCAGTCACCAGTGACTGACATGGCGCTTAACGTGTTAACACTCTATGGGCCGAATTTTTGTTCACGATTATAACAAAATCTATGCAGTACAAAATTAATGAATATCCACATATGAATACGAATTAACAATGTACTCAATAGTTTCCATAATTTCATCAAACGAACATATTTCGCAACTTTCAAGTTACAATGACATTAAACTTTCACACCTGAGCGTGTAAAACTTGCAGTTAACTGATTACCTCATGTTATTCACCACTTTGAGTGCAAAATGAAATAACTCAACAAGATGCCAATATACTGATTTGTGACTTCAAATTTACATGGGCCCACAGAGGGTTAACTTGTATCTTTCGATGTTTATCTGTTTCCAAGTCTAATCTTGCAAGGGCAACAGCTAACAATTTAACCCCTTGGCGTACTATTTACTTTCACCACTAAGCTCATACCATTTTACTATCGATAATTTTGAAGAAATGCAACAAAATCGGCCATTCTACTTCAAGTGGAAATTTTATTTGAAGATAATACAATGATAATAGCAAAGTTGCTTTGATCCACGGGTAATGAATAACATCGATTTGTTAAATTCATCTAGAAATCTTCATCACGAGTCTCACTAGTCATTGCAATCAGCTGCAATCAGTAATTCAGAAATTCTTTCAGGAATTCCTTCTTGAGCTTCCATTTGTCTGAACGGTTGGTCACCTGACAAACGTTGACAAACTCGTTTCGTTGACATTAAATTTCAAAGTGAATTGACACTTGGATTTATTCTATCTTTAATTAACGATCCATCGAAGTCTCAGTCGTCATTGTACGGCAAGGGGTTAATATAAAAGATTGAACTGTCTAACTTTAGTCACTAGAAATATGTTCGTACGAGGATACAGTAAATACGAGTGGAATAAGTATGACTGGTTGAATAGAAATAAAGCAAAGCAGGAAAGAAAATGGAAAATAATTAGACGCCTCGAACGTCTCACGGGGGATTTCACCGTGTAGAGAGCCACTGACCCAGATTACAGCTTTATAGATGGTCATGTAACGTGGAATTGCAGTAATTTCCGCGAACTATATTTTTCTTCGGCAAAGGAAGGGAACGAACGGGTGGCATCGGTAATTTCATACACAGCTGAAAATTGAGCCAGGACGGTTGCACCCTTAACGAGCTTACGAAATGAATATTTTTCCCCCATGAGCGTGCGTGGCGCGTTCGTAAACCGGAGAAGAACATTCGTATTACGAGATTAGGCCCTCGATCGCCGGGCTGAACAGTTGCTCCTCGCACAGCTCGTTCGACTCTCGCATGTTCTTCCGCAGAATGGCGAAAGCCCCCATGTGCCTGTCGGGCAGAATCGATAATATCATTTCTTTGGTTTCGATTGTTGCCGCCATTATTGAACGCACGCATGATTCGCGCGCACGCTCACCTCAACCCGGTGCAGTCGTTCTTCCGATAAGTGAACGACAAATCGATGTCCTCGTAATTCTTGATCGGCTTCTGCAAGATTAGAGGTGTATGAGGCGTTGATGGCATGGAAGCACTTGGAATGTAATTAATGTAATTCATTTCTTCGTTAGGAACGAATCGGTGATATAAAACGCTTGAAATTCTCGTAGCAATCAATGTAGAATTCCTTCTGCTTATAGTTCAATATTAAAAATACTACTTGAACGCTAGAACTTGGACAGGTCAAGATGACTCTCAGAATTTTCATTTCACAATTATCGCAGTTGCAAGGATATTGTCGTGAGAAATTGCAAATCAAATTCGTGTCCTTTTGATATCTAATAGATGCGAATTATGATTCTTCTAATAATCTTCTTAATTTTAAAAATACTACTTGAACACTAGAACTTGGACAGGTCGCGATGACCCGTCTCAGAATTTTCGTCTCGCAATTATCGAAGTTGCAAGGATGTTGTGAGAAATTGCAAATCAAATTCGTGTCCTTTTGATACCTAATAGATGCGAATGATGATCCTCCTAATAATCTTAATTTTTACGAGGAATTGTATACAAGTCGATTCAATTACTATAGTTCCAGTGCTTAAGAGGATAATTGTGACAGAATCCTTAAGGCGATCGGTTAATCACGCGGTACCTCGGCGAGACACGAATTCCACGCACGCAGGCGAACGTCCGCGGTCTCCCGTCCGAGAATCCGTCGGATCGCGGTGTTTGCGCGGGATTTACATGTGAAACCGAACTCTTCTGATTCCTCGAAGAAGAAAAACACGGCGAGCCGGTAGCCCGGGCGGGACGGGGTCGGATCTCGGGTACTCGCAAAGAGGGACGCATTTAACAAGGAGAAATGTTGGCGAAGGTAAATTGAAGCCGGACGGAGTTTGCGTAACTTTGAACTCGAGTTTATGGACAGAGAGAAAGAAGCTGCGCGGGACAAAGGGGGCGGGTGATCGAGAAGGAGTGAAAGACGCGGAAGGGAGCGGAGAAGGAAGCGGAAGTCGCGCGAGACAAGGAGCCGGAAATGGAGAGAAGAAAGGAGAAGTCCGAGGCGGAGGTAAAAATGGACTCAGACACGGAAAGAGGACGCGAGAGGAACGCGTGGCTCGCGAGTCGAACGTCTGTCTGAAATATTCCTCGAACGTTTCTCCACTCTTCGACGCGATATCATCGAATTATTAAATCGTCGTCGTAACTTTGTTAAAAACAGTTCCCGCGCGTTCCTCGTCGCGGGGACTTCCGCGATCGACGATAAACGAACGGAAGTGCCCGGGTTAATTGTATCGCTCGCCGAATTGCCGTGCTCGGGGAGTAATGGCTGGAGCTGTGCGAGACACGAGGTCGAGGGAAATCTTCCGGGTTAAGCGAATAGAAAGCGAGGAGGAGAAGGAAAAGAGTATGATTGATTAAATGGGAGTAGCGTCTGCGGACAGGTACCGCTTGAATGATCGAGTGTGAAACGTGGATTAGAAAGAAACGCGGGAGAGAAGAAAGTCGAGAGACAGAGAGGAACGTAGATAGATATATAGATAGATAGATAGAAATATAGATGGACAGAGTGAATAGAGAGATAGAGAAACACGGCGAATACAGTGATAAATACAGTGACGGAGAATCAGGCATGCAGAAAACTAGATAAAGAGAAGCTGCATACAGTGATGCATAGAGACATAAAGAGAGACGTAGATGGATAGAGCGATGGGTACAGAGGTATAGGAAAACATAGATGGGTAGAATGACAGATGGAGCGATAGAACACAGGTAGACAGAGCGACGGAGAGAAACGTGGATGGATAGAGGGGAACGCGGATGGATAGACAGGGACAGAGAAAAATCACTTGCCTTTGACGGGATGGTTGATATCACGGTGACGTTGTGCCCGCGAGCTGCCAAAGCTTTCATCAATGCCTGAAAAGGTTGCTGGTGACTGTAGCTGGCGCTGGGGCAAATTCCGAGTATGTTGAATCCGATGCCGACTGGGAATTGCTGGATCAACGAGACCGCCAAGAGTAACAGGATCGCGGAGCGCATCTTGCCTGGCTATAGCGGCACGATTGCGCGCGGTGCTCCTCTTCCAACGCCCGCGACGGTCCGCGCGAAATCACCGGTTCAATATTTTAAACGGGGATCGAAGCTGCCCCGTTGTCGTGTTACGCCGTTCGCTTTGAATTTCAGCCGGGCGAGCTCGCGGCGGGGACAAGAACGGTCCCCGTGAAAAATTCAGAGCACGCTTCACGATCAGTTTGCTCGGGGCCACGATAAATAAGTGAACACACGGGGTTTCTTCTGCATCGGTCGCGTGCACCTCGCGCGGCCCGCCAGCGTAATAATGCAAGCTCGGTCCGCGCCGTGACAGATATTTTTATACCGGCCGGCGAAACATAAAGGTCTCATTCAGGGATTGCGAACGGTTTCATCGGGCCGAGGCTTCCTTATCTCTTCCCTTTCCCTGCTCCGCGCTTTATCGCTTTGTCCGCGGCTTTCCGTGGACAAAGGTCAGCGTTCACATGTCAGATTCGTGTACAGTGTTTTAGGTTTAAACATAGACCTGATCTGATAGTTCTGGTGTGTTAATGATTTAAGTTTAGGAATTTTATAGTTCATCGAACCCTTAATTCAAATTCTGACGTATACTTCGAATGAATTGATTTCTTTAACACGTTGACTGCCAAATAAACACTCACTGAAACTCTCACACGAGCGGAACAGTTCTCTTAATAGAAGGGAAACCAAAGAGTCAAGATTCTTCGTAACAATTGCACTACTGTCACTTCTATTACATGTAACAAAATTCGGTTCCCTCGATACGCCGCCGAGAAAATTCATTGTTAAGTTGATGTCACCGGAATTCGGGTGACGTAGCAGTCAAAGTGTTAATCGAAGCCAGTTGAATTTTGGCCCACCCTGTAGCCACTTAACAGGAAAGGATTTAAGCAGATTGACTGCCGCGTATAAAAGAACCTTTTCTCAAATATGTATGGCTCAATCCTCAGCTCTAATTACGACACGATTAATCTTCCGAGATAGCCGAAAAGGTTCCAACGATGGACGAATGAGTAGGAATGTTTCCAAGAGAAAAAAAAAGAACCGTCTTGTATATCATTTCTAGCTTGCTAGGAATCTACTTTGAAATTATAGTGCATTCACAGAGGCGGCGGTAGCAAAATGCTTTAACTGTTACTATAAAACTGACTAGAAAATCGCGGGTTACGATGCCGGGACTCGTAACTCGCCGAAGACGAGCGGAAGGAACGCTTACGGGGCAGCGCGCATCGCGCGATGATATCGCTAATTAAAATGCAAGTTACTGCGCCGCCTAGCCGCCGTGGCACGCTGATAAACGTGCCGCTGTAGGCGGGGGCGGTAACAAAAGATTCTCGCATGGCGGACGTAACCGCGATTTTTAAACGCGGCCGCGTTACTCGCAGTCGTAACAACGTTGAGCACACCGCGGGAGGGTGGGCCTCGTTAATTCCGAATATTGCGCGAGCGTCCCGCGAAACCGCGTCCCCTGAAAAACTCGTACGGTTTGTCCCTTTAATCGGCGAACACCTGTTTCCCTTGCCGGCTCGTTCGCGAGGAATAATTGCTAACATTCCCGCGTAACGCGGAGCCGTCCAGTTTACCGTCTTTCAAATTCTTGGTAACGCTTCGTCCAAGAATCCGGGATCTATCTCAATTCTTCGTTCCGTTTCAACGAGGTTCTCGTTCACGGTGAACAATCGCTGTTAACGTTTCGCAGACGCTACCCAGCCCACCGTCTCCGAAATCCGCCGCAACTGTGAAGCAACAATTCTTCGAAGAGCCCGGATTCTCTTGATTCTTCATCCATCCGCGGCGCTCTTGGAAAATTTTGGCTCGGGTCCCAGACACCCGTGGACCCTGACAGATCAGACATCCTCCCAGGATGTAATAAGCTGCGTGACGACTTTAAGGAGTCCCTCCGACACCCCGGCGAGGCGGTAAATTCGAATCACGTGTCAGAATCAGATGCGGCTGATAAGGGTTGAAAGCACAGTCACTGTCGTTCGGGGTAAGGTTCACCTTGAAACTTGACAACAAGTCTGAAACGCCGGTAGACGAGGAGGCGAGCGCGATGGAGCGACGGAGCGAGGAGGAGAGCGTTGCTGGAGGAGGCGGCAGTCAGGGTTGCGAGTTTAATAAAGGGCGACGATCACGGGGATCGTTTTCCTTAGGAGCCTGTCCCTCCGCGCTGCTCGGGGGAGGACGCGCCGATTATTAACCCGGCCGAAGGAATGTCTGGCTGGTACCAGTCTGCGTCGCGTCGCCGCGCGCTCGCTCGAGAGGTCAGACGGATGCGGCTCGCGTGTAGTCGTTGACGTTATCGACGGTGCTGATATTAATTTATCCGTCGCCGGTGGGACGATAAATGACAGCGGGACGTCGGAGGGACGCGGTGCTCGATGGACACGAGCGATCGATCAGTCTGCCGCGCGAGGAATATCCGTCGGGCGTAATTTAAATTACTCCTCGAATAATCCCGACGTATCGTGGACGTCCGGCGGCCGTACGGCGAACGGACAGAACGGTTTCCGGTGTTGCGGGGGAACGTCGAGGAAGGTGGAGATGATTTTCTGTAGGGGGTCACTAGGTTTAAATCTTTGCAACATAGAGATCTGAAGAATAATTGAATTGACGAGAGATTGATACATAGTTGTCTTTTCTAGCATTCTATATTTTCATGCGTGATTCAGTTTAACCCTTCCGCTACCGCGGTTCGGTCCGTCGTAGCGCCACCTCTGAACGGGACCCCTCGCCGGAAGTGTACACATCCGCGTGGACAGTGTATTTTTGAAGAAAAGGGATTTTTCTTTGAAATAATATATAAGATGTAAAGATAAGGTGTAAAGTTATTTAATGGGTACAAAGAGTCTCATTAACAATTAAAAATAGTGGAAGAGTAATATATAATATACAATGATAAAATAAAACACAATTTATCGTGCATATATCCGGCGTTCGGAGCGAAAGGGTTAAGAGGTAGTTTTTATGATCTAGCATTGAACGTTGAAAGTAGTTTATTAGAATAATCAGAGTTCGACGCGTAGTTTCCTTCTCCGCCATTTGATATCTCGATGATACAGTCCCTTACGGAAGAAGTTGGCGGAAGTTTAAAAACTCCCCGTCCCAAAGGGTTAATACAACGCTGCCGCGGGTGGCAAAGAGGAATAGAGGCTTAGAGTCCAGAAAGAGAGCTGCGTGGAAACGGCTCCCGCGACGAGGAGGGAAAGTTCAGAGCCCCGAGCAGCAAAATGCTGCGTGTGTCACTAAGTAAGCGTCTAGATTTGCTCGTCCTTCCCTTCCGCGCGTTGCCTAGAAAAGCCAGTAGCCTGCCGGAGGATGTGTCAGGTTCAGCTGTGTATGTTTTGCGAGATCTCTCGGTTTCTCATCCCCGTCTCTCTCTCTCTCCTCCGCCCCGCCTCTCTATCGCTCCCGGAGATTTCGCCTCTTTTCGTCCCTTGCACCGGAACGCCGCACGATCGCTGCGCGGCACCTACTTGCGGATCTCCGGCTATAATCCCTCCGCAACCCTCCGTTTCCTCTCGTTTCGCCCTCGCCTCCGGACGACTTCCGAGCGAGGACGGCGAGTTTTTGCCGCGCCTCGCTTATGCAACCGAAATTCAGGATATCCGCGGCTAATTTTGAGGATCGCGCGGCGCGCGGACCCGCCCCGCGGACGAAGAAACGGCCGCCGCCGGCTCGCTTGTCAGGAAATTTCGTTTTGCTTTTCTTGCTCGAGTCGTACTTACCGCTTACCGCTGCCGTTGCTGCTCCCAGCGCTGCCGCTGCTATCCGTGGAACCTGATGCCGGGAGATTAGTGTCCCGCGGCGCAGACACTTTGCCCGGTGTCACGTTGTTCGGCTCTTTCTACGGGATTTCGCGGGGAACGGTCTCGCGTTTGGTTTAAATCCCTAATTTCCGTTCATCGAACGCCTTCCAGTATCGGGAACGGTGAGCGGGGATTTGAATCGGGGATAAGAAGTGTTTTGCTTTCGTTGTGAATCGAATTGAAGAACGTATTGCGTAGTGTGCTGTAACGTTCGCTTGAACATGGTACGGTGCAGGAATAAATATTAATATAATGCGCTTTATTGTGATCGGGTTAATGAGAAATAACAATTGAATACGCGAGTAGCAGTATTTCTATTGAATTCCTTGTAAACAATTGCAAAGCAATGATATAAAGTACATTTATCACAATAATACAAATTACAGAAGGTAAGCTGCTGGGATTCCCAACAGAAATATCGCGATTCAATTCTACTAACTAGAAAATCTGCAGAAAATCAAAGAATCAAACTAAATACTCCCATGAAATTCTATATAATTTATATTAATAAATTTCTTGTTACATGCCATATAATTGCATACCACTATACATCGTTACATTACATTCTCATAATTTCTCGTCGAAAGTCGATACAAACCTGCCTTTAATTTCGGCCGCTCAGATCGTCGAAACACTCGAGTGCGCGTCGTTTCGCTCATTAACGGGCATGTTCGGTGATGCGAATCATTCCATTCAGCGTTACACACGGGCGTGCGGCAGCCTGCGGATGCTGACGACGTCGGAGCGTTCGGCGGGAACGTCTATGCAACAGGAACTTAAGTGCCGTGATTAGAGTTCCCGTGGGATCCGCGGGATCCAGGCGCGAAAGGGGTTTCGGACGGGTTTAGAGAGAGGGCGGGCCTCTAGACGACCGCGCGGCTCGGCGCCCGATTATACACGTCGATGTACATATTTCCGACGCGTACGGTTTCTTTGCGAACTGCCGGATGAGTTTACGGGGCGGCTAATGAAATTATTTCTGGTCACCGAGCGGCGTAATCGTGTCAGGAGAACTTTCCGCGTTTCTGTGCCGCGACAAGGGCCATCCGGCGCGGGCGGCGCGCGCGCGCGCCGAGAACGTTTTCGCCACGGCTCTTTGCGCTCCGCTCGCGACCCACCGAAAGATAAATATTTGCGAGCCCTCCATTACGCTTTATGGAATACTTTCCTCCGCGCGCCTGTTCCTTTTTGCCCGGGCGCGGCCGAGCCGTCAGCCGTCGCCCGTATAATCGCCGCAATTTTCTTGGCAAAAATTTTTCGCCCCCTCGCGTCGCGAAGAAGCCACCCGTCCGTGTGCTCCGCCTTCGTTTTTCAACCCCAATTTCGTATTCCCTGGAATATACGTTCGAGCGTCCTCCAGATACGACGTTCCCTTAACGCGCATCGTTAATTCCCTGATATCCCCTAAATTTCTCGAGGATCATCGAGCCCTGACACACATACCACGAGTGTCTACGTTGCGCTCGAACCTCTCGCAGGAATTAAAGTTTCAACGTCTCCGTTCCGAG